ATTTGTCCTGTAGCACCATCTCTCGTTGTTCGTTGCTGTTAACCCATGCACATGTATCCCATATCTTACTCAAGTCGTGAATTCATGCAATATTTCTTAAGCAGGGTATGATTTTCCTTATTATGTTATTGTACTTCAACATATATATTATGTGACTTTGGAATATTGCTCCAAGTAAAAGTGGACCAATTTATGACCTTTAGCACCGCTTCTTGTTACTTCGTGCTGTTTTTCTTTGTGCATGTATGTGTAATCATTTATCTACTGATTTTTAACTTGTTTCTTTGCCATTGTCCTTGTAAATTTAGATGTGCCTGTTTCTTTGAGCAAAATGTGACCAAGAGAAACAACTCATTGATCTAGTCATCATTATATTATTACCGCTATACAAACTGAACAATGAGCTAATTAGTTACATGTAAATTGTACTAATGTGTTTTATGTATACTTATATGTAATCATAATTGTTATATACCCCATGAGGCCATAATTTGGAAATAAATTCTATTCTATTCCATAGATGTATATAATTCTTTAAACACAAGAGTTTTAATTTGTTTCATCATTCATATATGTATCTTGGTTAGTTCTGAGAACTTTTCTGAAAAAATGGTAAGAGAGTACGAACTGGAATGAAGTCATAGAAATCTCTCGGCTACCAGAATATCAAATAAAGATTTATCCTTGATCACATAAAATGTCAAATAGTTAGAGAAAATGTGGGAACAAAATTTAGGGAAAAGTAATACCCTTGATGAAAAAATTAAAACCACTTTAAGGTCTTCCCTTGGATTATCTATTTAACACAAAAAGTTCTACACAACAGGAATATATAGTATTTGGAAAGATACGTATCCTTCTATATAGATCACAGCCCAAAGATCCAGTAATGGATTAACTTTATATTGGAAAGGATACGTATACTAGTACATGTACTGTATAAAGAGATATTAAAAACTATTGTAAAGAACGATGGGCCAAAACATACGAACACCGGGTTTATAAAAGAATTTACATTTTCAACTGAGAAATACTGTTATTTATCTTTTGAAAAAAGTGATATTCTGTCACAATGTGAAAGGATATCAAAGTAAGTTAAAAATAATTTCTGACCTGTAACAAGATAGAGATGGTACATTGTAACTGAACCATCTTGACAGAGACTAAAACTGCCAATTTCTCCTCAAATAAGTTGCTAAAATCCATATTACAATGTTTTCAATCTCACAACTGCTAAGCTCCTCAACTATGACTTCACAGCCTATAACACTAAGACAGAGGCAAAGAGAAATTCAAAGAACATGTAATAAACAGAAAATTCAATGTTTTGTAGTCTGATATGGAATTTATTTCATGAGTGGGACAGGATTTTTTTAATATTTTCACGAGTGCGAACCACGAGTGAAAATATAAAAAATTCCTGTCTAACGAATAAAATAAAAATTGTAAAATTTTCTGTTTATTACATGATTGATTACCCTCTATTTATTGCATTTTCAGTAGTAAAATACTGTAATTTATTTATTGAATAAAAGTGATATTCTTTCACAGTGTGAAAGGATACCAGAATGATATTCTGTCACACTGTGAAAGGATATCGAAGTAAGAAAATACGTTTTCTGGCCTGTCATAAGATAGAGATAGTAACTAAACCATCTGGATAGAGACTAAAACTGTAAATTTTTTCCTAAAGATATTGCCTAAACCCATATTACAATGTTTTCAATATCACAATTGCTAAGCTATGACGTCTCAACCACTCAACTAAGACGTCTTTGCCAAAGAGAAATCAAAGAAAATATAATAGACAGAAAATTGAATGTTTTGTAGTTGGATATGGGATTTATTTCACTCGTGAGACATGATTTCTGGATATTTTTACTCGTGCTTCGCACTCGTAAAAATATCAAAAAAAAAAATCCTGTCCCACTCGTGAAATAAAAACCATATACAAAGACAAAATATTGAATATCCTCTATATATTTGCAAGGGCTTAAGAGAGAGTTCACCTACTACATTTTAAAAGTAGCCAAATATTTAAGTTTTGGGCAGACTGGACAAAATGATTAGAACGTCGATCTTCGAGAGCATAAATCCTAATCTTTGTAGATGTATAAGCAAGAATTTTGCATTTAATATAGGGGAAATTTATCCAGTGGCCACTCATACATGTTGCCTTTTTAGGCTGCTGGTACAACGCATCCAAAGCCATCCAAAATGACCTCTAGCCATGAAGAAAATTGACGGAAAAGTTCACGTATATCAGATAAACCGTTACATAATTGTTCTATAATGTTCCTACTGAAGCAAGAGTCTTTCACATGACATGCAATTAAATTATTTTAGATTCAATTAGGTTATGCTTGTGCGGTTTTTTGGCAATGGCGTTATCTAGTACTCGTGTTAGACTATACAAGACGAATATTGGAATGTCACGGCATGTCTGCATTTTGCTTTTTTTGAATATTAATTTCCTCAGTAATACACCATACTGTGATAATCCTATTGCAGCGACTTTCGTCCAATTTTCCTCCAAGATTGATGCGGTGTCTTGTAAATTAAGTACACCCAAGATGATCAAATAATGATTTCTTTTCCCTTCGAAAAAATGCAATCAGTTCTTCGGGATGAAAGATAGAATTGTTATAGTTGCTGCTCTTTGGAATACTATTTCTGTAATAACTCTATTCAATTTTAATTCAAAAGCGCTTCGTTTCCCATTTTTGCTCATGTCCCTCGAGTGAGAGAAAATTGATACAGGGTTACCAGTTATTATACACATATTAAGCCTTGCGTGCCAATTGAACAAAATTTATTCATCCGCGGCAACTCTGGGACTACATTCGCGTGTTAAGATACAGACGATCAGCCATGGCGGACGACAGCTGCCCAGTATTCTATTGGCCTCGACGAAGTCGTTCGTCTCTCAATTTATTTTTGTCATTTTCTATGACTTTTTCCAGCTTTCCATCGGAAGAAAATGAAAAACCTAATGCTGTGTTACGCCTAGCACCTTTTTATTTGTCGACTTCTTCCGCTGAAATTTTTCACAATATTCCCGAATAATACCCATCTTTTGTCACGATATTTTTTTTCCAAAGGATTTTTGAGGATCATTGATTAATTAAAGTAGTTTCTGTACTCCACCACCTCGACTAATCTACAAACATAATTTGAGAAAATTATGTCGTAACTCAATTACGCACCGCTATGTGTCAATAACGTTTATATAACATAAAGACCAGTTTATTCACGGATGTCACTTTTCTATTGTAGGCCACTAAACGTTTCCTGACCATATAATAATCGTCAAACACCAGGTATGCGAAAACGTTCATTATTAATTACAAACTGGATTCATTTCTTATTTCTTTTTCTTTTGTTATGGTTGAAGAGTTATTTTTAATTCTAGTTAATGTCTCAGACTTCAAATGAGATTTCTTTGAATTTCTTATTCAGAACATGTTCCGAAGCTAAAAGAAAGGTCTAAACGTGGTAGAAAACAAAAAATAATTTTAAAAAAATTGATTCTATCATATCAAGAAAACTGGAACTCTGATTCCAAGACCATAAACTGAGAACAAACTTAACTCAAAATTTGATTTTGAATACCATCTTCCTGATTTTTATTGAATAAACTTGTTTAACAAAGTTGCAGGTTTGTATAATGTTCAGATACAATGAACTAAGAAAAATTTTGTTTTAGTTTCAAAATTATTTAACAATTTGACTCAAGTTTAAAGTCTTGGGGCTTGATCTTCAAATAAACGCAAAAAGAATCACATGTATTTGAACCGCCAATCCAATCTAATACCTCATTGATGGTGAGGAAATTTACATGTATATTCCACTGCTTTGAGGGAAAAAAAGGCCTTTATGGAAGCTCCAACTACAGCTATATTGCCCATTATACAAGAATACCATTATAATTCATAGTTGTAATCCATAATTGAATAGGATAATAGAAAGACATTTTTTGATATAGAAATTCAGAAAAAGCCATCAATTCTAGTTATGAAAGGGTTTATGTTTTCAAAATTTTAATGTAAATAGAATTTTTAAGACTAATATCAGCAATGATTCCAAGTTCTCTAAGAGGCTTTTCCATCACTCAAAAATGAAATCAATGCTTGACTTGCTAAGATCTTGTGAAAAACACTTTCCAGTCACTGCCCTAAAATAAAAATACTTCTCATGTTTTATTATATTTTATTTTATTTAGATACATATTCATGTCATATCGTTATGTATTTTATATGGCAATAAACATAAAAGACAACAAAATCATAAATTTCAACGATAATCATTACGAAATATTTAGTACATTTAATATCATTTAGGGTCATGTACAATATTTTACAATAAATTAAAACACTAGGTTTGCAACATAATAAATTACAGGGAATTTCTTTAGATATTGTATAATGTAAAGAATGAAAACATATACATTATGTTGACATTGCAATGGTATATATAAACTTAACAATCATGATAGGGAATAATGATATTATTATATAGCATTAAATATGATACTTGGAACAGATTTATTTATTTCGTGTGAACTTGCTATTTGAAATAACTAAAACTATAACAAATTATCAGTAATAACAAGAGCATACATTACAGGTAAAATTTGCTCTTTTATTTTTATATATATTTTTAAAAAAAAACCTTTCAGTTTAAAAATTGAAAAAAAAAATTGAACAGTTTAAAGGAAAGCACTGGCTTGCTAAAACATGTCTAGAAGATGGAGCATAAAAGAAAAAGAATGATCTGTAGTGATGAACTTGCTTTCCATACATCCGTGTTACTTGAATATGCTTTACAAATATACAAAAGCTAATATGATATTATTTTGAATCAGTGGTCGATCATATATTACATGTTAAGATAGAAACAAATATCGATGATAGATCTTATGAAATTGTTTACTTTATATGAGTGTGAACACATATTTATTCAATTAGAAGCACGTACAAAACAAATAACCGAACCATCGATCATGTAATTGTGACTTTGGAAAGGTGAGACATATTATCAGAAATAATTCCACGTTTTTGATGACATGAGTACATATCATCCGCTTGGATTGACCAGTCCTTTGGGTCGCCATATGCAGTGTGGGATGATGGGTACTGGTACCATGGAGATGTTTTCACAACAGGGACAGGTATTCCACCGGTCATAGGCTGTTTGTCGTACATTCTGTAAAAAATGAAACAATGAAAAGACATAGAACCATACATTTTAACCTTTAACAGAAAATCTAAATTATCCTTTTTTTCGTCAATATTTTAGAAAAATGGATTTTATCAAATACGAACCTAGGAGGTGTTCGATTAGAAATTGCTGAATGTATCACTGAGGCTGGGGTGGCGCCGGTAACGGGACTACTAGTTGAAAGCATACCACTGTCATTCTTATTTACACAGTTCACTTTTGGACTTTCTACGGGATCTGATCTAGGTGTAGAAATAGGACTGGGGTGAACATTCTGGTTTGACTTTGTACAATGCCATGACGCTGTATTGTTTATAACGTTTACCCGCGTGGAATTATTGTTGTATATATTCACAGGGGGACTTCCCATATGGTCCGAGTTCCTAGAGGATTGGAGAGACCTTGGACTAGCAGCGTTTTTAATCACGGAACTGTGATGTAATGGCATCGTTGCACTCATTCCCTGATTTGATCCAATATCAGACGGAGAACATATCACTTTAGTTTCTTTAAACAAAGAAGACGTCGTCGATAGACATGGATTATGCCCTACAATTCCATCAACTCCATTATACATGGCTGACGACCTTAAATCTACAGGTTCTAGTGACCCATTTAGTCTTGTAGGGAGTCTCTCGTTGCCATACTCGTATGCATATTTTCGATAATCGTTGTCATAGCGACCGACATCTTCACCGTAATGGACCTTTTTGGCAATGTCCAAGTCATAAGAATTGAATCCGTACTTTGTCACATCATAACCAAACTTTGTTGGCTGAGCCATCAAGTCTGAGTAACCATTGCCCGGATAAGCAAGAGTATGCTGGTACTGTCTATGAGGATCTAAGTAATATCCATTAGTGTAGGCGTGTTTTTCTGTGTCCGACAGACGATAACTGTCCGCTGTGGGATATACAGATCCAGGAAAACTAGCGTAACCTCGATAAATGTCGGGTTCGATCGGTGACGGATACGGGTATAAGATGTCGGGTTTGAAGTCTGCACCTTCGTATCCATTGTATTGTGGGTATCCCGCATATCCATTAAGCACCGGTTCACGAGCACACTTTCGCTTTCGACCCGGACTTTGTATGTAGTTTTCACGCACACAATTTTTTTGCTTTTTGTTTTTCACATTTTTCATTTTTGATGCAATTTCGTCATTAGGAAAGTCAAATCCTGAGCAAATGTCTAAGTCAAGCAATGGATATGGCAATTTGAACTCGTTTCCTCTCTTGTGAAAAAGATCAGCACCTTCATCATCACTAAAATGTGCCACAACAATACATAAATACGCAGGCGTTGATACATAGTAAATCAAATACAATAGATTATTTCATGCCAATTATTTAATTTTCAGAGTTGGAGGTAAACTTACGTTAGTTGTCTATGAGTGCAAATCACGAAATCAGGTTTGCTGTTTTTGTAGATAACCTTGCAGCTTGACTGGAGCCATAACCATCTAAATTCTTTAGTACACCAACGGTACGCGATTAAACCAGAACTACCAGTTTTAATCACTGGAAACAAAGATAAATAAAATTATGACAGGAATTGAATAGATTAAAGAAGGAGACTTAAGGCTCAAGCAACAAAATAATGAGTATCAAATTGTCAAAGTGACTAGTGTATGTACTGTACTGTGTTTGGTACATACGTACTAGGATTTACTAACTAAGTCCAACTACATTTGTACATGTGTGGAACAAGTCAATGTTAAAAATAAAACCACTATCAATAAAACATGTACCATATTTTTATTATCAATATTAGCCAACCGGATAATACATAATTGTTACAAAAAATACAAGAATTATCCAAATTCCTTTTACATAATATAAAGACATAGTCAATCACATGCAACTATTTATGGATCATGGATCAATTTTCACCCAACAAGAGAAATGTGTGACAAAGGGTGTCAGCTATGTACTGTATACTGACTGCTGGCGACAGCCTGGGCTTCCCTTGTCCTCGTCGGGGGACACAGATACCAGTAAACAAAGACAAGGTGAACCATGAAGATCAACTATTAGCTGCCAGGTTGATTTTTAACAGCAACTGAGAGCAAAGGATATGTCAAATTGTCAAACGTCTGTCTTTCACGATATTGCATTTCAGTTTTATTTGAAATTTAATTCATTGTTTAGGATTATAATACGCTGGCAGTGATAAAAGGGGTATTTCATAGAAATTTTGTGAGCATATTGTGGTTGAAATGGCAAGAAAACAATCTCAATTTTAAAAAAAGAGAGAGAAAATCTGCTTTAAGGATCTACGATATTGAAAAATTTCAACCTGGTTTTAAGATAATAAGTATTGATCATTTAATGCTTGAATAATATTAACATGAATGTGACGTTATCTCAAAGTTTTTGAAAAAAAAAACAAACTTACATTCCTGATGAGCAGATGAGAAATAATTGAGGTCATCTGGATGAATAAGGTCATATCCAGATTTAGTTGCCAATTCTCTATCTGAAAATCCAAACATGGCTTTTCCTCTGTAAAAAAGAAAATATTTAATGAGAAGTGAATATTTTTATATTCTCTGAAGTTTTGTCATCATGTACCATTTCAATTAAAAAAAAGGACATCGCAAAAGAGCAAATCCATTCCAATATCAATTTGTGCTTGTGTAACTTCCGTTACGTACGCACTCACCCACTACCCCCCCCCCCCCACACACACACACACAAACACACAATGCGTTACTACATCCCCTCCAACTTCGTTGCGAGGGTATAAAAAGGCAACAAACATATACTGGAAAATGTTGGTAGTCTTAATATAGCTTATTACTATGCAACTGTTAAAACAGTTATAGTTATCATCTATATGTAGGCCTAAATGTCTTTGGAAAAAAAATTACTTTCGGCTTTTTCACAATATAGTTCACATTTATGAAAAGCCCTTGTTATAGGTCATCAGTGCTATTGAAACTAACCTGTTAAAGCAAAAAGACAATGGAAAAATTTGATAAAAAAGTTTTACCTTTACAATGATATACAATATGTCATAAGCTGTTATATTCCTGAAATCGGAATTTTTGTCAGCCATAAACTCGGTCAATTTTTCACTCTTAAGCGGTAAGATATAAAACAAAGATAAGTTTGAATCTTTATCCTTGAAACTGTTTTAATAGAATGTCAAATAACCAATTTTGTCTTAAAGCCTCTTACATGTATATAATAATCTACATTTTGCACTTATTTGATCAAAATTGGAGTAAAATTAATCAAGTTTTGAAGAAATAAAGTAAATAACATGTATTTTACAAATTTAGTGTCATGCTTTATATAACCCTCTGAAATATTCATACACTGTTTAATGCCTGTCAAAATATCTAAAATCAAATATTTATATAAATGTTTTCAATGCTTTAAGTCTATTTTAATTGAATAAATAAAAATGGAATGAACAACATAACAACGTATAACAACTTCAATAAAGAATCTGATTTATGTTCTCTGCCATTACAGTTAAATTCATTTAGGTAGTACTTTTTAAGAAACTGAACATCAGTTTTCATTAATTTATCCTAAAATATAGTTTTTGGTTTGTAACTTAAAAATAAATGTAGATTTTAGAATTTCAAAATCATTGCGGACACTATATTTCATGAGCGCCAATTATATTAACATTAATCAATTTTTATTATCGTGATAAAAATGACAAATTCAATGACAAACACTGACAATTGTAGAAATACAGACAAAAGCTGAAAGAAAATAAGGAAAAGAAAAGATAAATCAGGAAACAAGAAAAAAGTTCTATGAGATGAAAAATGTTGATAAAGAGTAACGTCACCAAAATCAAAATAATGATAATAATAAGTCTTAAAATTCAAAAGAACAGAAAAAAGAAGAAACATTACAGAATGATAAATCTAAATCTCGTTATTGAAGGAGCAGTAAAGAAAGGGAGAAAACAGATACCGGATATATATAAGAACAGAAATTCAGCAGAAAAAGACAATTCGGAAGCAGTTTTGAGATGAAAATTGGTGCATGAAGATCAAGCTTAAAATTGGAGGATTCTGCAGCAGCAAAGCTGAGGCCACAAAAATGATACAACTGATGATGATGTCATAAGAGAGGAAGAAAAACATTTAGGTGACAGAGATAAGACCAGTGAGAACTTATTTTGTGTTGAAATTTCAGGAAGAAATACAATTGATGTATGTACATGTATATAACTGCAGATGTTAATTGCTATCATGATTTCTTTTTGGGGGTTTATTTCTCAGCTTATTTCAGGTCCGAATACAACAAACAACTTAAATGAATTAGTTATGATAAAAAATAAAATAAAATAAATATTAAAAATATTAAGATTCTTTGGAACGGTAAATTTTTTGTAGTGTCCGTAACGAATTTGTGATTTAATAGAATTTACTTTGCTTCTTTCAAAAGACGGTTTAGTACAATACATTTAATATTGAATAAATTCTATATGAGGAAAAGAAGGGAACTCTCACACAATATCTTGAGCTTGTTTACCTAATTGGTATTTTTTCACAGTTTTGTGACTTGTTGCATTGTGTGAACATTGAAGCAAAATTGCATAGTACCGTATAAGAGGAAATTTTAGCGAGACGCAAATTTAGCGATTTGTCCTAAACTTTGATATTTTATTTTTAGCGATTTTATAATGCTCACTTAATAAGCTATTACAAATAAAACAAAATTAATTTTTAGCGATATTCTATTTTAGCGATCTTAGCACTCTCGCTAATAATGCCAAAATTAAATCCTCGCTAAAAATTCTGCTTATACGTATTTGGATTTCAAAAAGAAGTTGCAATGAATTTGCAAAATTAATTATTTTTGCAGAAATTTCAAAAGAAATGAAATTAGTGTTTTCAATAAACTATTGTGTCCGCAACGAATTGATACAATACTATTATGATATCCTCAGAAATGTAAAAGGTGAAGATAACGAACACTAATCAATCTCCTAAATCCAGTAAACAAAACAAAACATAAATAGGACAAAAACACGGGCCGCTGGAACTACCAGAGGTGGGATCAGGTACCTAAGAGGACCAAGCATCCCCTTGAAGAAATAAACACAAATTTGAAGAAAGAAAAGCAATGAAAATCTAAATAAATTGTAATATTTCTTTTATTTTCCCTACTGTGATATTTTTAGTAAATATTTTTCACATTTTGTCATAAGTAGGTAAATTAGAATGGTTGAATCTACCATGAAGTGATTATAGCAAAGAAACAATCTCAGATTCATTTTTCTTCTAATTAAAGTAAATATACAATTATATTTCCTTTATGATAACTTTAAACACTGTGTCAGATACTGAAACACTATTATAATTTTAATTACAAATATAAAAAAAATTGGTTATAACATTATTACTATGGTAAGAATAGTATACATATACCCCTTCCTTCCTCTTCACATTGTTAGTCGGTTCCAAAAAAGTGATTACAGATAAATATTTAAAAATTCTACATACATGTCCCTTTCAGAAAAATCATAAGACTTTAAAGAATATTCAGTTTCATTTTTCAAAAATGTTGCCAAGCTGTGTAAAATACTGTGAAACAGCCATTTTATGTTTTTTCCCCTTTCTTTTAACATTTCAACAAAAAATGAACTTTAGATGCACGTGAGAGAAATATACAATTTTTTAAAAACTAGTTCATTTTATTACTATTTTTATTCTGATCTTTTGATGTTTTCGTAATTCTAAACAAAGTGTAGGAGGATATTATGTAAAAACGCATTGAAAATTACCTTCTCTTTCAGATTTTGACAATATGTAAACACGTTTAAATTAAATTTTTAGAGTTAGAATATTTAACTGCTTGTCTCACGAAAACTTGTGAAATTACTGTTTTATTAGGTTACAAATTAAGAATACATTACAACATATCAAAATTTCAACAAAGTTTAACAACAATAGAAGATCGCAAAAATATACGAAATGGGATCTGAAAAAAAATTGGTTTGATTTACAAGTACATAGTTGTCCCAAATATAAACAAACATATCACCAACAAAATTTAGCTGTGTCATTGTAAATATTGAGAGCTATGATCTTAAATTACTGTAGGTCGACCTTGAAGGCGTTACAAAAATCTTCATATTCATATAAGAGATCAAGGTTTTAACATGAAACTTAAAGGTTTTCAGAAAGAATGAGTTTGCTTTATAAGAGAACAAGGTTTTAAAAGAAAAAAAAAAAACACATTTAAGACTCCTCGTTATGAAAATGCGTATAACAAGTACAGAAATACATATTACCCTAACAAAAAACATGCTATAGTTTACTATATATAGTATCAAAGTTTTTACTATATTAAATCAAAGTATTTTACTATGGATTTTAGATTGTTATATTTTATGTTCTCCAATTTGAACATGCGCATTTTTTTTATATAACATGAAAATGTTATTTGTATATTCACATATTATTCCCCAATTTCATTGGTATGAAATTTGAGATTTTAAGCTGCAAAATCTCAGAAAAAGTTCTAGAGTAAAGTTTCATAGTAAATTAAAGTATAAAAGTACTAAGTATTTACTATAGTTATCTAGCAGATCTGAAGGAAACAATCGAATTTATGTAAGGCATTGCTAATTGCTGACATATTGATTCAGTCAAAAAATACCTCAATATCAATATTCTGCTTAATATTCTGGTGAAAGAAAATGTCATCTTCTTGCAAATTAAAAACAACTGAAAAAAACAACTACATTTGACTACGTTTGACTATGTAAGTTGACATTGTCATATCTGCATAGATATTACACAAACATGTTTGTATTCTAGAAAGCTGTTATGAATCATAAGAATATTTTGTATCTTAAATATATAAAAGAATAAAACCAGAATACAACTATAGAGTTACTTTCATGTTGTTCAGTTTATTTTTGAGGCAATAATTAAACTCTCCGTTAAGGAATCATTATAACTATTCACAAAGTGAAAGAAATATTTCTCACAAGAGGAAAATTTTACGCAGATAGAAATGAAAGAAAGCGTTAGTCCTCTATGTGTCATTCTATACATTAAGACTAAATGATCTAATTCAAAGCTGATACATGTATATTTCGATAGAAATGAAATTTAACTCATATGAGTTGCCTTATAAGGTTTTTTTTTACTAGCATAATTTTATTTATTACATATTTCAAACATGAATAAACATCTCATTTCAGGATAAAACGAGCCGGGAGATTTCCTAAAAGCCAGGGCTTGTATACTGCTTAACCCTCGAGTCCATATTTATTGTCGATTGTGACTTTATTTTTCCTGAAGAAAATAAGTATTAAATATTCTTTTTCTTTGTCTAGACTGTTTCTGTATTAATAGTATTTTGCAAATTAAAATCCTTGGTGTAAAAAGAAACAAAATATATACATAAATTGATATTTTGGGTTAGAAATTTGCTTCTGTGATTTGATTCAGTCTGCAGAATGACAAACTGTTTATTTTTAAGATAGATGCCTTCTTTATTCATCCAAACCAAATAATTCTTTTAAAAGTTAAGGGCATTTAAAAATAGAATTTTCATTTTTCCCCTCCAAATTTTGTAATGCTTATGGAACACTTCATTCAAAAGAAAAAAAGAACACAACAGTGCCTTGGACGGTCAGTATATATGATCTGAATTGTCATTCATCTCGCATTTCATTGCATTCTGAACTTGCCACTGTATTATAATTTGAGTTGTCTTCTTTCATAAAAGTTTCATGCAATTTGTAACAGCAAAGTAACAATTTTATTTGTTTGAACATTGTAAATAATTAATACCCAATATTGAGTTCGTAATTTGTATCTAACAGCTCGTAAAGTATTTATTATTTAGTCATCACATATCTCTTGCGTGATTGCTTTTTTTATTTTGTAAAGAATGTTCCTTCAGCAAGTTGGTTACAATTTCCAACACTTAACCAACACCTATCATGTTGAAAAAGACTAGACGATTTATACCGCTACAAGTCAACTACAAAGTCGTGACAGAAAACAATAGCGCGTGAGAAAAAACAAGGGTCACGTAAATTTTAATGTCAATTAAGACCTTCTTTACTACGAGGCGAAAGTTTTCATTCACAAAATGCTCATGTAACATTCCCGTGATCAAATTGCTAAAATGGACAGACAACAGGCGATAAATATCCCTAATTCATTCATAAAAATAACCCATCCTTCGTGTTTGTCCGACATGCTTGGACCCGTGAAAACTTCTATATAATACGGACAAGATAGAAACATGCAATATTAGATCGCTTGAACGAATCTTGACAGTGTAGCCATACGTTCGATGTTTGTAGTCGAAATTGGTTACACTTGTAGTATTTCGTCTTGATTTTCCCCATTTTTGACTTTTTCTTTCATTGTTTGACGAGTACATCCGGTTTTATTTTCACTTTACAGAATTTGATTACAATTTGCATATACGATACATATCTATGATAATAGTGAAGATTAACATTTTCTAATGGTTGAGTTTCAATGCAATTATCTCCACAGTAAACAGTCATTAATGTGAAAGTAACACTGTTTTTCTATATCAGATTTGACAGAATGTCTATTTAAAAGATTTTGACTGTAATCCAAAATTTCTCAGCATTATCTAGGGTTCATAAAATCTTAAATCCGTTTAGCATAATTAACTTGTTCCACTGTTAAATCTGTAAAGTCATCATCACATAATGATAACAGATATCTGATATGGTCAAAGTTATAATAATTCACCATTCGAAGGATACGCGATGTCAAAGAAAAATAAATTAAAATGACAACCAATATAAAATACAGAAATTCAAAGAAGAATTTAAAGGATCGTATTTTGGAATTATGTCATCGAAAAGATATGATTAATGACAAAGGTTACAGAAAGCAGCTTGCTGGTCTTTAAAACTGATATCTAAATCGCTGTTCCCTAGATTTAAATTTTGTAAACTACCCAACCTCTTTCCATATCAGCATTGAAAACTTCTGACCTCAAATTTGTAATATTTCTATAAAGTCTTCTTTTGTGGTATTTGGTTTAGAAATTGCACAATAGAACTGAAATTTCCATCTAATGAGTAATCTAATTTGTGAGGTTTGCGACCGTTGTTGTGTTTGAAAACAACCTTTTCTACAGATAAGATGAATGGATTTTTCCTGCAAGCACCTGTGCACGATAAAACTCATTAAAGGAACTTACTAGTCAAAGATGCTCAAAACAGAAAAAAAAATTCACTCGGACATGACCGTATTTCTTTTTACTCCGACAAATACTAAGAAAACACAATGTAGATTTCACTTGCCTATTGTCCATTGACATGGGAGAAAAATCCATCTTATGCTTGGACTTAAAAGTGAGTTCTCGTGATGGGATGTCCATAAGGGAGAGTGGACCAAAGGGACAACACGTAGCAAATAACGCCAGCTGTGGCTCATCCGAACGTGCATTCTGCCCATGTAACATTCGTATCCATCCACTGATTTCTAATGTCTGTAGAAAAATCCATGCATACACTGTATATTTATCATGTATATACATGTATCTCAAAGTTAAGCTGTGATTTCTTTCAATTTACATCACATCTCGAAAGAGATATTTGAGAATGACATGTTATACATGTATTTGTCAGGTTATGGAGATATGACTGCATATGAAATGCAAAGACAGTTGTAGTTTTTAACATTGAAAATGGTCAAAAACTTACAATAAATCCAGAGGTGTTGTCCAGCAAACATCTAAACCTAACAGTGAAAGATCTATGAAGGTGTCTAGAATTTTCTAAAACATAAAAAAAAAAATGATATCAAGAGATGCATATTTTGATAAAGAGAAATTCCTTAATGCACTTTTGTCTACAGGGAAAAAGTTAAAGAAGAAAAACAAATGGAAGAGCTATTGATGTATAGGATAAGATGAATATGATATTGTTTTCCATATTTTGTTTATTATGATATGTACATTGCTTTAAGCAGTCGCTGTATGCAATGAATGATACAAGTAATCAATATTCAATATTTATGAGATAATTCAAATTTCTAAACTTTTTTTCTAAACATTATTTTAAATGTTGTTATAGATACAGTATGCACCCTATAGAAACCAACCAGGCATCATGAGCTCGTGGAGGGACATATTGGCCTTATCCTGGGGAAGAGCAGAGTTCCAGGAAAGCTGACGTTTAAATTCCTCCCTGTCTTCTGAATGTATAAGCTCCATAACACTCTGGTGGATGATGTCCGACTAAACATAAAATGTATTTATGTTTTATTTCGTGTATAAAGTTAATGGTATGATCTTGCTTAAATTACTAGATGATTAGAATGTGTAACACAGGACTTTATTCAATTGATATCATTCACTTCAGATTTTATTCTTATATATACATGTATATCATGATTTTTACTTTTTCTATAAATACTACAATAAATACTACAAAATTAAAAATAAAGACGATTGTTGTTTTGTTCACGTATAAGATTTTTGAGATTGATCAAGTTCGTTATCGTTACTTTTTTTATTGTAAACATACATGTGTTGTTCAGTAATCTAAAAATATGCAAAATAAAATGAAAAAATGAATTGCATGCCTCATATATAACTTTAATTAAAGAGTACACACAGGGTAGCAGTGTTTCAGTTTCAAGCAAATCATTTCATATTAAAGAAATACAAAACGATCAGTGATTTACATTTTTTTTTTATAAAATAGAAGCCCTTTCTCTAAAAACAATTGCTTTAAATTTTGCAAAAATGTGAAATCATATTTCAAACTCTTAACACTGAGGTTGCATTAGGAAAAATCTCCGCTCAAAGATCAAAAGAGGGAGAAGGATTTAAATTTGCACGTTCATATCACCCAGTTGTAAATTTATGATTAGAAGATTTCCTTCGTTTTCAGCTCAATTTCCAGAGACTTAAAAGAGAATGGAACAAAGATGTTTATGACGATACAAAAACATTTAGGAAGATAATTACAGTCTTCAGAGGGCGCAGTTACATGACATTAAGTTAAATCATTTGGACGGTAAAAAGATATTACTTAAAGCGATTTTATCTGTTACTTCGAGGAGGATCGGAAAATTGAATTTTTGTTGGACAATACCGTTAAATCGAGCATGAGCAAAAACAATTCAAAGGGGTTGTCACAAGATCGAGCTCAATAACTAATCAATAGTAAGTGCATTACAATCATATGGAATACACATTACGATTTTCTTGAATACATGTAAGACAAATAACAAAAAATACAATAATAATTTTGGTCTTTTTTCTACCATCCAGGAATAACTAAATATGTTTGCGTTTATGTAGTTTTACTTTATTTATAGAAAGAAACCCAGCATTTAAAAAAAATCCGTATTTTATATTCATTTGCATTTCTTTATTTTTTAGGAAAAAGAAAAAAAATGTTTCTCTGATATATTAGTATGTCAGTATAATTCTCTCTCTCTCTCTAATTATATAAGGGCTAATTTTCTCTCAGTTTTCTCTCTCTCCCTATTTTTTCTCTGTATAAAATTATGAATGTAAACCTACCTGGTGGAATCCCAGGTACTGCTCTACGGTCCTGGAGGCATAGAAAACCTCTCCATCACATGTTATCACAACCATGAAGCCATATAACGCCTGTAAAAGGAGAAAGTAGGTAGATGATCTTATAGAAATGTTTCAAAATGCACTTCTTGTTTCTTCCATCTCTCTCGTATTATAATTAACTTTGAATAATTAATATTTTACCTTATCTTGATGACTTTTGCAGACTCTTATGAACGAAAAGTTTTGGTATGTACCATTGTGTTAAACTACTTGTATATCAATATTATCAAAGTTACCAAGTTTTCTGATTCCCACGATCCACATTAATTATAAAGCAACCGGATAATAAATGATGGTATCAGTAATCATATGTGATTTAAATTACATTAATTGCACCAATAGAAATATGGTAGTGTAGAAAATATCACCAAAAAAACTGAAGTGTCAACCCGAAATCCAGATATATTGTTAAATGTTAAGATATAATAAATCACAAACAAATCTTTATATACGTTAACAACTAATTAATGTTTTAAGATGCTTTATTTGAAAGATATTTCAATGCACGAAATAAAGTTAAATAAAACACAAGATAAAGCAGCATACAAACTACCCTTATAACCCCTTTCTCTACAAGTTGTTTTAGTAATACCTGTAAAATACTGTCTCCTTCTGAAAAACCGGGTTCATGAAAGAGATGGGATCTTCCAATGATATGATGGCTATCCAAGTTGTATCGGTCGGGTAAAACTGCTACAATAAAACAGTGTTTAAATCAGATGAGCTGTAAAATATTAATAATTTATTTATTCCAATAATAATTACATGTATATACTTTATACCGCATAATATCATAAAGCATCATTCTATATATACACCTAACTTAAATTCTATCTACATGTATTTTGAATTTTTTTTTTTTTTTTCGAAAAGTCCCTTTTGCTTCCTTTTTTATTTAAACATTATTTTATTCACAAAAAATGAATGGAATTTGGCAACAAGCATGACCTATTTTAAATTTAGCCCTCTCCTTACATTAAGTTAAGGTGGATACACACTTTTTTCATTACATGACAGAGTATTGTTTATCATTGTATTTGAGAATTGAGAAAAATATCTTTTTTCATAAATACCCTTTTTTTATTGATTTTTTTTATTTTAAAGAGGTTTGATGTTTGGTATTAATTTGCAGTCAAATTTTCAGGAATGCAGCCCCTCAAATACCACCATATGCATATCAGTACATCAAAAATATTGGAGGAAAACTGATGCAGTGGATGAATATCAGGTAATTAAATATATTGTGATTCACCAAAGATCCCAACCATATAAAGTTGTGCCATGTTCATCAACAACATTGTATTACCACTCCCCAAAGAAATACTGGGCTGATCAAATTTTACCAAGAGCGGATAAATCTTGTCTGAAATGAGGTGTAACAATTTAGAGTGTTTATACCTGAGAAAATTTTAACAGAAAGCGGTTTGTCATAATGCAATTAGATCAGATCTGGGAACGAAGTTGATATCTGGACAGAATATACCTTGTTCTTATATCAAATTATGCGAAAGATAAAAATGGTAGCTGACATTTTATCTACTGTGACAAACATGGTTTTGTTTGCTTCCTTGAACAGAGCAGTCGGGCCAAGAAATGGAAGGCCTTAGTTTCGCGCAGAGATAGACGCTTGTGTTTGTTCATTTAGACGGAAAATGTCCATAACCTCTTCCACAACCATTGAGAAATTTTGAGAACTAATTATCCACAATTTTTCAGAGAGTTGTCAAAGGTCAAGAATGAACTAAAGATACTCCTATCTAGTTTCCATGGCTTTAAGTTTATTTGTAAAGTTTGAGGTTATAGCGATAATGCAGTTTGTAAAAGGAAAGCACTAACAATGCATTATTGTTTGGTAAACAGAATATCGGGAGATTTTATCTCTTTATATCAGATGTGCATCAGATTTATATAGCATATTACAAGATAAATGAAATAGTACTAGTGCAATATCAGCTTTGAAATTCCGAGCATGTCATCTCTGAAATCATCATCTAAATGCATAGAAATGGTAAAAAAGATAATTATATAAGATATGATTTTTTTTTAATCTTCAATCAGTGTGATATTGAGTTGAATCTCATAGATTGATAACTTTTTTTAAGTACATGGTAATCCAGATAAACATATATACTGAAATCAAACTTTTCATATTAAAAAATAAGGATATAAAGTTCTTAAATCTGAAATGTTCATTTGTTTACAACAAAATTCCAATTATTCCAAATAAAAAAATACCTTAGTTAACTATAGCTAACTATACTAATTATAGTTTACTATAGTATATATTGTAAGGTTTTTACTATAGTCAATCAAAGATTTTACTATAGTAAATCAAAGCATTTTACTATAGATATCACATTGTTATATTTTATGTTCTCCAATTCATATATGCACATTTTTTTTTATATCAAAGGGAAGTATGACTTGTATATTCTCAAATTTTTAATCATATTTATCGAATTTAATAGATTTTAAGCTTCCAAATCTCAAAAAAAGTTCTTAACTTTATAGCAAATCAAAATATTTACTGTAGTTAACTATAGTCAACTATAGTAAATTTATGTAAAGAATATTATTCATTGCATTATTCCACAGTCAAGTAATAAATGTAAAAAGATTAAATACCAATAAATAAATAAATAAATAAATAAACAAATAAATAAAATAAATAATTAATTTAATTAAATAAAATTTAAAAAAATAATTTATAAACCTCATAGTACTCTCTGATACTTTTACTAAATTGGAACACACTTTAAATGAATATTACTCCAATTGACTAAGAGTGTTCCAACACGCTAGCTTGATAAAAGTGATAACTATATCAAATAGCTTGAACTTTCTTACCAATGTTTGCGAGTCGTCATTATGACACATACATGCTGTTAACCCTAACAAATGCTATGGCAAATCATGATTTGTTGCAATCACGCAACTAGTTTCATTTTCCCGTTCACAACGTGTTACTATTGCACGCATAGTAATTTCAACTCTCTATAACGTTACACAAAAACATTTTAGCGGAATTTGAACTGCTGCATTGAAACCGCTTCCTATGATTTTACGCATATATAAAATAATAGCAGAAATTTCAAAACATGCTTTCTCTTAGTCATAAGCCAAAAATACGCAATTTTATTGTAAAATCAAAAGGATAAAATATCTTCTGCAAGGAATATCTGAAAAATATATGCACTTTAATAGTACAAGAATTTTAAGCTTATACCTGTCTGTGTTATTGTAAAATAATTACGTCACATATCCACATAAATAAACAGGACAACTTAGATAAGGGAAAAGCAATGACTCTAATTAAACAATATAGAGAACACTAAACTATCGCATACATTATTCAGAAAAATTCTCAAAATGAGAAAGAAGACAAGAAAATGTTCAAAGACAAGGACTGCCGTCTTTGGTCGTTTCATCTACAACTTAATTACTTAATCAAAGACGAAAAACTAAGACAGGGAAATTATACCAAGAAGACAATTCAAGCTTAAATTAAGGCAAGGCCGGCAATTTTGTCGATGGATTTAAAATCGGCTAGTAATAGAAAACCAAGATTGATGCTCGGCTGCCGTAATTATGCAATAAATCACAGGCAAATTTCCGCGCCATTTAGTTATGACGGCTTTCTCCTTTTTTTAATGTTGACTCTTTCGTTTCAAATTCATTTTCTAGAATGGAAAGACACTGTGCCGATATGTTTGTGTTCCTCTCTCAAAGTCCGATGTTCTTTTTATCATTTTTTTGATTTCCCTGAGAATTCGAGATTTTAGATTTGGTAAGTTTAGGGTGCAAACAAAACAGTCTAAATTCTGGTTTCTACTGGAAACTGAATTTTGTCTTGTTGTTGACTGTCATATACCCTTTAACTCAAACTAGCAAATCACATTTATGATAAATCTAAAGTGTTAATAGTTAAGTGTAGTAAACCTTGTTCATGTGAAATTGAATAAATTCAAATTTCCTAAGACTCTATGTGCTCCGCACACCATGTCCATTAAATGAACTTTGAGAAGGTTTTTATATGTTCATGTGATTATGAAATTGTGTTTTTGAAAAAAAGTTATGGAAATCAGACATCTCAAAATTATTTCTTGTCCAGCCCGTGACTTTCTCGACATAAACATACCAAATCATCACCCACCATTCGTCAAAAAGACGTGATTGCAGATCATTAAAGCCAGCTTGTCACATGTTAATACTATCTGTATCAGAATTTTTTAAGGTGTATGAGAAATGTCACTAGCAAAGATGCCTAATCAGTTTATATAATAGACTTTAAGATGGCAGATTTGAAGCTTTAAATCGTGAAACATAGTGTAATTATTTCATAGATACTCATTAAGTTGACTTAATACAAATGCCCTACATGTAGTTCATGCAATTTTCTTTCCTAAGACTAGTTGATGAGAATAAATTAGTTTTGATTTACCATTCCATCAGCGACTTCTTTCATTTAAAGTACAAAATTACGTAACTTTCCTTGGTTAGAACTGTAGACTAAAAAAATAATTAAAAAATGAGAAAGATGCCTCCAGATAATCAGAACGGGTAATTTTCTGTGGTTGTGGTTCAAAGTACATTTAGAATTTTGTTATAAACAGTTTACTTCAGAATACATTTCACGACACGCACACAAAAGGAAGAAAACGGTGGACTAATGAAAATGTGTTATTAAAGATATTTAGTAAATCTCATTACTTCCGTGAAACAAAAAAGAAATACGACAACAGAATGGAAAGAGGAAAAAATCGTTATGATGAACTGCGACGTTCACGATCGATTAGATAATTAGCTTAGGATTTGTTAAATTTTCAGATGACCTACCAAGCAGAAAAATATGGCAATGAAGTCAAAATTTTTATGAGAGGTGGTGTATGGAAGCTCTATTCGTCTCCAGTTGATAACAATCTAATGTCAATAGTGTCTTTTGTGTTTGCTCTGATTTAGTAAACGCTAAACGTGCTCTAACTTTGACTAATTCTATTTTCATCATCCTTGTGTCGACTTCAAAGTCAGCCATCTTCAAGACCCGGATGTTATGCAACATTTCATGGCGGTTTGGCAAATACAATTAATTTAACGATTCTAGAGTAAAAAAATAATATTATGGTTTTGATTTGACAATCAACAAACCGTCTTATGGACAGAATGCATAATGTCTTTTTTTTTTAAATGTTTGCCCTACTGACATAAATAGAAAAAAAAACTAGCAGATAGCAGAAAGAAATAATTTAAAAAAAAATATTTTAATCACATAATTTAATAAAATTAATTCTATAAAATTGTTAGATTTAAAATAAAACAAATGACACTCAGTGGTTTTTTTATGATACTAACTCTAACTATGAGGAAACGTACCATCGAATTCACTTAAGGTATATACAATTTAGAACTGGGATAAGTACATAATTCTATTGAAGCACAGACAACCGAGTCAAACAGCTGTGGATAGTGTTTTGTGGGATATTTTTCCGATGCCATTCTCTGAATTAGCACTCGTGCCAATTTCTACCAATTTCCTATAGCCACTTTAATAGAATTATCCCGAAATCAATTGCATCTTGCAATTGTAATGAAAAAGCAACGTAATTAATGTCAAACAGAGAATAAAAATGTACCATTAAAAGACAGGCTTTTCAACAAGAGGCCGAAACTTACACTTGAAAGGGAATTGTACATCA